AGGAAATTATGTATTGTATTTTATTAGGGTATGTTAGATTGGGTTTGGGTTAACCATTTTATAGGTGGAGATTGGGTTGTCACTCTTGCCTTTGGGAAAGCGGGCTGGGTTCTGAGGCATATTCAGGAATGGTCAGTTCTGTTCCAATGGATATGATATTAGCTTCTTGTTCCTTAGGAATAAGTAAAGTTCCTGATGGTTTCCATCACAATACCCTCAGCCATAGGACATATGTCAAAAGTTGCTTTAATCTATTGCTTCACTAATGATGGAATAAAGTTTATCCAGTGATGAACATACCCACAATTAAAATCCATTGCTTCCAAGTCCATTTTAATATACTTACTAAATTAATGGTCAGATACTAGACCAATACTTAAAAAAGTAAAATGGTACCTAAGTTGGAGCATCCTCTTTTTTGATATATAAGGGCATCCAATTAGTCCTGTAGTTTCAGAGAAATGTGCAAACAAACATAGAAAAAAACAAAAAAACATTTTTATATAACTGAGGCAAGATGACCAGGGGATGAACAGTCCCAAATTGAAACTCCAAAACTAAATTAACCAAAAAAAGAAAACATGAACTGACTTCCCTTATCAAGCAGCAAGACAAAAAAGGAAACAAGAGAAGTACCTACCAGATGGCACAGCAGCGAGCTGCTTATCCCTCTATGGTGGATGAGGGATCAGGTGGATCATCATCAGGCTCAGCATTATAGAGGTGGATCAATGCTGAGAGCAAGGGGGTTGGAGCATCCACAGGATGAGGGTCAAGGTGTAGTAGATAGTTGTTGAGATTGACAATTTGGCCTGGATCAAAGCCTCAATGAGTTTGTCAACATGGTGTTCATCCAGGATGTGAACATCAGGAAGTTGTTCTATTTTCAAAAATTAGCTTGGGTGATATGTGTGGATGAGGAGAAACTTGCCAGTTCAGCAACATGTTTGACAGTGGTGGTGGCAGTTTCATATAGGCATTAGATTTCCTCTTGTGCAGTAGGAGGAAAATTGGAGGAAAACAAGGGGAGTACAGCCCTTTTTTAAATTTTGCAACAGATTTTGCCACATCTTTATGAAAACGGCAATTTTTGGGTGAGGCCACCATGGCCTCAGCAAGTTTATGGTCATTTTGGGAAGGGGTAGCATTGGGTTTGGGGACATATTGTTTGGGTGGGAGTGGGGCATCAAAGTCTGAATTCATAAAAGGTAGTAAATTGATTGGTTTATCCAGAGATGGGACAATTTCTCCTGATTTAGACACTTCATCTAATAAGTTCCAGGGATTTTGGTTGATTTGGTGATATCCACTAATTGGTGTCTGTTGTTGGGTAATTATTGGGGTGGGAGATTTTTTAGTTTGAACTAGGGTTTAAACCTGCTCCCAATTGGTTGACTTGGGTGTAGATTTGCCAATTGGATTTGGGTTGCTCAATTTTGTTGCTGATTCATTGAGTGCTTAACCTGGGGGGTAGGGGCAGCCAAAATCCCCACTCAAACGCTGTTGGTGGGGCCTCATGAGTGGAGTTGGCCATGTTTGCCAGGTTTGAATTGTATCAACATGCCTTTTTGGTATGGTCCAATTCATGGCAGAGGGGGCAAACTGTATGGCTGTTGTCAGTGCAGGCCCAAAAGAAATGGCTAGGTCAGATGGGATATAGGCACACGGTGGGATGTGCTGGGTCATGTTTGGCTGGTGAGGGGTGATAATGCCATTGCCTGAGGTGCCACAAGGCGCTCAGCAATACTTGGGACAATGAATTGGAGGATGGGGTTTTTGCTGTAAGTGGACAGCTCCAACATCAACTCCTCATAAAGTGTTTGAGGGGGAAGGTGTGAGGGGAGGTTTGCAAAGATCACCATGAGAGTGGTATCATCTGGGAGATGTGTTCAGGTGGTGGTGATGGGGGTGTTTTTGTATTATAAGGGCATAGCTGCAGCAGCAGCCATGTCCTCTTCCATGGGGAATCTAATACTAAAGTAGCCCTTGTAAGGTTTGAAGTCAATAATCCCTTCTGGCGCAAAAGAGGCTGTTGCTGGCTCAATTTGTCACTTTGTTGGCATACATGAAGAGACGTCCATTCTTGATGTGGAGGCAAAAGTGTATATCAGATCAGGGTAGGGCTAGGGGATGGGGGTGGGTTAGGTGGGCTTGTGTGAGGGTGGTTGCTAAGTCCCTTGGAGGAACATAGCAGCTAGATATATTTGGTGGACTGGATATGCCAGTCCACATGCATTTGCCTGCTGGGCGGTAAATGTTAGTGGGTGGAGCAGAACTGCCCCATACTGGGGCAGCAGGTGGCGGATCTGAGGACATAAATTTGGAGATTGGTCTGGTGAGGCAGTAGTGAAAAATTAACTTGTTCTTCTAAAATTGTTCAAAATTAATGTTAAGTGGAAAGAAAAGTAAAAAAAAATTATATATACAGGTCAAAATGAGAACCTCCTTTTTTTATAAAGTCAATTAATAATTAGAATAAAATGTTTAAACGTTTTTAAAACGTTTAATCTTTCAAAATTAATAATTAATTGCTTTTTTTAATGGATTATTGTATTGTCATGGGAGATATATAAGTGCTAAATTTCAAAGCTCAAACTAGCCTGGAAGGTAGTTAAAGATAAATATACCAAATCAGCCAATCACCAACTGCTTGGTAAAACAAAACTAAACTTATCAAAACAACCAAACCACCATTAACTTACCAAACCCAATTAACTTATCAAATAATCATTCGCTAACTGCTTACTAAAACTATCAATCTTATTAATCAACCTTAAACCACCAACCACTTGGCAAAACCATTAAAGCTTTTAAATCAACTGAATATTAAACTGCTCAGCCATAACAATATACCAACTATCATTGAAACATATAGGATTTTCACTTTCTATATAAAAATTATCATGAAAATTAAATTTCTTCAGTGAGTTATTGTATTGTCATTGGAGATACATAAGTGTGTCAAATTTAAAAAGCTTTATCTAGTCTGGAAGGTAGTTAAGATCAGTCACAAAACTATTACAAATAGATAGATAAACAGGTACCACAGCGAGTAGAGAAAAACGTTTTAAATATAACTCTTGTCCCAATTGTCCAAAATCACCACCAATGCTTGGACTGTTTTAATGAATACTATCATACACTGTATACAAATAATATCAATACACTGTAATTTAAATAAAGCATTTTATCATAAATATAAATTAACAAAAAGTATAGTATAATGGGAATTTTTAATATTTTTTGTATCTAACCTCTACCCACACACTAGAATCTTTGGTTTGCATTCCTTTTTCTTACATACTCCTCTGAGCTCCAATGGTGGTTTTGGGTATTTTTTACCACTTTGATTTCATTTAATATATCATTTATAAACTGCTATTAGTGATGCTAAACCTAAGAATTGTTTAACACATTTGTTGCCCCTTCACTCAAATATTGGTGATGGGCCCCCTACAGAAGCATACCCATCACTCATATTTGGGTAGCATGATAACAAATTTGTTAAAATCAATTTAGTTTCTGGTCAGCTATTGATGCTGGGATCAAAGGGGCTTCTACGCCTTAACTATCTTAATAGATTTAGCTCTAGTGTTTACTTATAACCTCCATAAGACAGCGTCTAAACCCTAGTTTTTAGTACTAAATACACCCACTGTCACACTACTGATAATAACTTAACTTTTTGTTTGATGATATAATAATTTAAATTTAAATTTGTGAAGAATTAAGTTTATTTAAAAGTGTGATTAATAAAGGAACCTCTTTTAATACCTTACTTTACTGAGTAGTATGTAAGTTACTCCAGAGACCCCAAAGGTGATGAGATTGGATTAGCCCTGTACCTCTGCCAAGTGGGACACTGGAGTCAGCAGAACAATGCTAAGTTTTCTAAGCTGCAATTGGAGTCAGAACAATTCCTTTAAATCAGTAAACTTACCTAGATTGCTATTAGATTGAGAAAACTCTCTTTTGGGTGTGTAGTTTATTTATCAATGCAACATTTAGAAACTTGGGGTATTTCAAGTGTTGCAAGCAAGATATGCACAGGTAGTGTTTGCACTTAAACAGGCATAACTATATAAATACAGTATACCTTGAATATAAATATAAAGGTTGGATAGAAAATGAAGCCTTTATTACTTATATATTCTTCAAATCTGCTGTAGTATCATTGTGTATTTCCAGTGCTGATGGATCTGGTTATGGCAAACCAGAATTACTCTTATCAAAGTCAATACCAAGATTTTCTTTTCTGAATTTTTTTCTTTTTTATAATAATAGGTCCTTATAATTTTTACTTGAGCTAGAGGGAATAGCAAGTGAGTCAGACTTCTTTGTTGCTCCCAAATCTTCTAGCAATCCCCCTTTTTAGTCTGCTAATATACTGTGGACAATGCTTCTGAGATCTGATAATCATCTGTCTAATGTCAGATATGACTTAATAAGCACATGTCCAACATTGGTGACATCTTTTAGGGTTTAGGCTGGCAGGGCAGCTCATGACGTATTTGCTGAAAAATCAGGTAATTTTAGATTGATGGGAACAGAACTGGTTTAGAAATATAGCTATTTGGATAATGAACAGATAGGGATCAATCTGCTAGAAAATCAGGATCATATTAATAATTTATTTGTAAATACTTGGATTTTGGGTTGAAAGATTCCAGCGGAATATCTGACAGTGGATCAATAATTGATCTTAAAAAATGCAGGCGGTGGGACACAGGTAGTGCAAGGTCTATAGGGTATTAGAGGTGTTATCACTAGAGTCATTATTATATATTTGATCAAACCTAATTCTTAACAAGTATATTTCAATCAGTAAATAAAGTTAGAGTATGTGAGTCCTTATTAATATATTCTTAGTAACATATAGAAAGTCAAATTATTTAATTGAGTTCTTAATGAGTTAAGACTCAAGAGAATCTTTCAGTTTTAAAAATCTTTTTTTAATACTTTTTACATTTATAATATAAATTTAATAATTAAATAAATAAGCTTTTGTGGTGTAGTTGGTTATCACATGCGCTTCACACGCGCAAGGTCTTCGGTTCGAACCCGAACAAAAGCAACATTTTTCAATTTTACTACTACTATAAACATATAATTACAATTTTTAGCTTTAATAAGCAATAAACTTTTAGACTTTTTGTAACTGTTAAGGTGTGTCCAAGAGGTATCTTTTGTGATATATGATAAAATATACTAAATTATCATTTATTAGTTTTATACGCTGGTTATTTTATAGCCTAGTGTAATCAAGGAGCACCAGTATTATAATAATCATAGCAAAACAAAAAAATAATGATGCGCTAGTGAAAATCATATTATAGCAAAGAGATTAAAAATTACTAAATTTTATGCATAAATTTTTCTAATCCATTTTAAAGAGATCCTAATTACACCTCATAAAAAATACCTATAATTAAGGTTTAAATTTTTATAATATCCTTAAATGTAGAAACTTGTTAAAACAATGTGGATAAGAAGATATTAAACCCATATTGTTAATAAAATTCTGAGTTAGTATATCAATTGATAGAGGGTAGTTACCCTTGTGGGAAATCATCCTGCTACTAGGTTTTTCTCTCTCCAAAACATCATTTTTTACAAAGAAGCATATCACAATCAAAAAAGGAGTGTATATTTTCTATAGCTGTCTCATCTTTGTGCATATGTCAACTAGGGTATTTTCTTACATTTTTTAGATGTGAGAAATTAGTTTTTATACTTCTGGGATGACAGGTAATGAGATAGCTTCTGCTAAGTATGATTGTGTAAGAATTTTTTGAAAAGAAAAGGGTTCATCTTTAGCACTTTTGATGGTTAGGATTAGCCTTAAGCTTTAATAGCCTAAAGTCAATGAGAGAACATAGCTAAGCTATGTAATATGATAGATGTTTATAATATAGAATTTATTATTATGTTATAATTAATTTTTAAATAGATGGTGCATGTGAACTTGTTAATATAGGAATATTCAAGTAAGTCCAGTTGCCCATCCCCTATGCCTAGACTGGTGCAATATCCTTTCAGGCATAAGAAAAACAACAGACCTCTTGTGACTACCTTTCTCATCTTAGTGACCTTGCTCATGTGGTAGATGAGAGATGGGGTAACTGTCCTTCCCCAAAGGTCCTTCCTCTCTGTATCCTTCTATTCCTCTATTTTGCTGAAAATGATATAAGGGGTGTTTAGGGAGTGGTCCATCTGTGGCCTCCAGCAGTATTCTAATGCTCAACCCAATAATATCCTAGTTACCATCAATATTCAAGAAATCACACAAACCTTCCAAAAAAACCTATGATCCCCAAGGAGTCTAAGAAGTTGGACTGAGTTTTAATTAATAAAAATTGCAGATCAAACCCCTAAATAATTTAATCTCCTTCTGATGATATTTCAATCAATCTACAACTCAGAACAGTTAATGCAAAACTGGTTGCTAAGACTTACCAGTTTAGATATATATGCAAGGTAGCTACTATCTATTTTGATTATTCTCTAACCTTTAACATGAGTCACCAGCATTTTGATGATGTGATATGGACCTGTCAAGGATTCTCCCCACTTTATCTCAATCTTTCTGACTAACCAAATATGGTATGTGCAGGGTCCCAGGCCCATGATAATGATTTGAGCTCCCTCTGATCCTTCTCCCCCTTCTATAAAGGCAATATCCCTCTTTAGGGTATGTTGCCAGTTTATTCTCTCTTTTATTTTACTTTAAAATATCTATTCTTTCTTAAGTTTATTTTCTGTGGAATCTGCCCCCCATGCCATATCTATAAGATCCCAAACTAATCTGGCAAGCCATGCTGTCATCTGCAACATTTCACTTTTAATCATGTTATAAATATACCAATCTATAAATCCAGAAAGTTACCACACAATATTAAAATTTATAAAAAAGTGCACTTTCATTTACAATTGCCAATTCATTTCACACCTTGCATACCCCTGTATACTTCATTTACTTTGCCATTCTGCCACTGATTTGGCACATTCCGTCAAACTTAATTCCCATACTCTTTTAATCTGTTCTCATCATTAACCAACATCTGCGGAATTCAGACAAGTCATCATCCCCCTGCCTCTCCTGCCCATTAAGTTTTCCCATTAAGACCCATGATTGCCACCATTGAAGCCTTTTAGGGTTATGGGGCCTTTGGTATGCCTTTGAGCTATATTGCCCCCACTTAACCCATAGACTGTCCCATTTTGATATCTTTAGGTCAGCTGTTCTGCTAGAATTATGTGCCTTTCACTGGGTAATAACTCACCAAGAGTGGATAGAAAAGTCTCCTTACAATCAGCTGCAACAATGACATAGACTGGCCACAATCTTTGACGTTATCCGCCATTCCATCTAAAATGAACAAGGGTTCACTTTTTAGTCACTATGAACCCCCATTCTTTTTAAAATCCTGGATCATTATACCCTTAAGGAAAAGAAATGATTTTAGTAAAAAACCTTCCTGTGAGTTTTAACAAAAAAGGTTTAGCAGCTGCTCAACGGGAGGAGAAGTTTCACAATCAACCAGTTAAAAATGAGTTTAATTTTTATGATGATCCCTACTCCCACTCCTGCTACTCTCTTGCAATCAGCTCCCACTTATGAAGATCATAATACTTTCTTTTCATATCACCCTCCACATTGGGCCACAGGAGGTTAGTACAGGCTCTTATGAACAGAAACAGCTGGCAACTTCATGGACTAAAAGTTATGAAATCTTTAAATTTGGACACAGATGTGACCTCTCCAATACTGAGTGAATTCTCAGAACCCAAGAGTTATCACACATTAGCGTCCAGTAAAATTTCTTGTCCATGGCTTCTACTTCTATGATCAATTTTGGCAGTTCAGGATTTACTGTACCCAGTGATTATTGGTGTCAGTTAGCGGTGGTGTCAGATTGTGAACCTTAGTATAAACTTTAATTGCCTCTACTTCAAATATGGCGGGCTCAATAAAGAGTTCCCTTTAATCAACACTATTATGGCCGCGGATTATTTAAAAAGACTGATCTTCTAAAATGAGTGTAATAGAACCCAGTGAAGAGCACAGAATGTCATGGGAAAGTTAGCCTAGTGACTTTGAGGCAAGACTTTTTAAGATTATCTGAAAGTTAAATCTATTCAAATAAACACTAAAAGCCCGCATAACAAACTATAATGATGCAATGGGAGCAACCACAAGTTTTACTGGGGAAATCCTCAAGGGTTAAAGACAGGGAGTGTAATAACAACTTAGAGTTTTTTTGGCTGTTAGTTATTGCATGTGAACAAATTAGAATAATGAGATACATATATTGATTGCGCTAAGTTACTGATGAGTCATCAAGGTAAATTGATGCTGCAGGATGTGCGGCATGTGCAACAGATTGATAAAAATGATCAGAACCACAAATACTCACAAGCTATCCTAGGGTGCATAGTGATGCCAGATTGATGAATTAGAGCATCCACTCCATTAACATTGTGACCATCTGGAGATGGCGGCGTGTATTGCTAGAATAATTTAAGGAAGTAATGGTATGGTGTAGAAGATATATCCCATAGAATGTAGAATAGAAAAATTAATATTGGAATAATATTTTATTAATATTAATATACTGGCAACCTTCCCTGGAGAGGGTTGGTTGCCTCTAAAGTGGAAAGGGGATAATCATAAGAGAGATTATGCACTGGCATGGGCCTGGGCACATGTGGTGTTTTAACTTTTTAGCCTGGGAAGAGTATTGTTGGGGGGCAATCTTACAACAGCTTTGAAACAGATCATAAAAAGCTTATCTTGTGTTCCATACTAGAGAATACTTCAAGAAATCACAACATGATTTCATGGATTCATTTTATTGGTAAATTGGTGCACAATGTTTCATAAAATTCATTCCATTTGGTCAATTGGTTATTATAACTTAAGGGGTGGATTAGTAACATATAATTTTAATTTTAGATCTACTTCACTAAAGATGAACTAATCTGGAATTACTGACTTGTTTATTGTTTTATATGTTTGGGTTGATTTTTACCATTTCTGTGGAATTAAGGGTATCTGAGCTAGTTGTGGGATGAGCCCTAGGGCACCGCCAGAGGCTTCTGGACTGGACCACCTCCTTGAAACCCTCTCTATAATTTCCCATAAGGAAAAAAAAAGAAAAATGAGCAGAGAGGGAGGATTAAAGGGCCAAGGAAGTAACCCATCACTCCTCAACCACATGATAGAAATAACTAATCTGGGATAAGAAATTTTCTGGAGCCCTAGATCTCTCTTATGACTATAGGGGTACTACTTGCAATCATGGAAGATAGGCTGAGCATTAAGACTTACATTATTTTTTCTTATAAATTCAGTTATTCTCCCATATCAGGGACATGGATTAGGGATTAATTGTCGTGCCTCATATGAAGTTTAATGTAAAAGAGGGATGTAATTTTCTGAAGAGGTCAGAGAGCCTCAGGATGGGACACACAAAAAGCTTCCAACAGTTCAATGCAATTAATGTAATCCTTAGCACTCACCCATCTGTTTTATAAGAGGGATAACCTTCCAAGCCACTAGGTACAGGACTGAAAAACAGTAATTTTTAAAACCAGTATTGTTTCTACCTCATCCTCCAGCAACTCTCCAATAATAATGGATCAGTTGAAGTGGTTCTTTTTCCTTTTAAATAAGATATTTGAGTGATGTTGAACACATTGTGGCGTTTCCAGTGCACTGTGAGTTTTATACTGAAAGATATGTTACTCAAGTCCTTCTCAACCTCAAAGAGATATGAGAGTTTTCTGGCTAACTTCCATGAAGGGACTTTAATGCTGAAATTTTGCATGTTCAACATGAAGAGGAAGCCAACTATGATGTTGGGGCTTGGGTGCACCTTTTGGTCAGCAAACTTCTTATGGTCTTCAAACGCCTTTGATAGGTGCTCCCATATAAGGTTCTAGGTTTGCAGCTTATAAATATGCGCTCTTCTGCTGCAAATCCATTGAGGAAAATTGTGAGAAATAAAGGATTAGCTTGCTTATTAATGTATTCCTGTTTTAATAGTTGGGAAGAGTTTCATCCAATAAATC